GACATGGTGAAATTTGACATGGTGAAATTTGACGAGAACTTTCAAGTCTCATTTCCCCCACCTGGAAACTGTACAACTTATCTCCATTCGATTCGACTGTGCAGAAAACCCTCTCAAAGTTTGATTGATTTTTGTGAAACATTAACTGGGGAATAGTCCACTTACTTTGACGATGTTAGCTGTGCATTCAGTCTAGACAGCTCAGCTCTGCCAGGGGAAAATATAAAAATAAAATCACATATTCTTGGGCATCTGGCACTGTTTCACAAAGTTTCTCCTGCAAGACACTTCAAATTTTAGAGCCCAACGTTGCACATGGGTCATTCTATAAATCGTGAATTTTTTCACGTCCCTGCCGCATCTGACACATGATATTTTTTAGTTTAGAACACATTCTACAATTTACAAAATTGGAACGAAAATTACCTGCAACACTAATAATTCTAGTTTGAAATTGACATTGATGATATTTCCAAGTCAAATTACACAGGTCAGGTGTATCAGGGGCACAAAGGATGTCACATTTTTGGACCCCAAATTTGTAGGATGACTCATATGTGTTAAAGTTTCAACTTTTGAGACAAAAATGTGTTGGACTGTTTCAAGAGGTAATGAAAAAGAAATAACTGAACAAATTCTTGTCCTTCAAATGGCTTTAGAAATATCCCACAGGGCTCTTACTTCCACAGCAGGGCACTAAATGCATACAAAAGGAACACATTATGTCAAGTAAAATCCTGCTGTCAAGACCCCGAAGACAGTCACAAGACCCCACCACCAACGCCATCAAATGACCCCCAGTCTGAAATCAAAGCTCCTGTATCTCAAGACTTAAGGCTCACATCTGTTGTGTAAAGCTTAGTCTAGCTCCAATGAAAATATGCAGGAGATGTACCAACAATAGCCATAGCCGTAGCTCTGGAAGGCCTCATCCCCCCCCAGAGCACTGACTATTGGGTCTGGTACCCCCCCCCTTCTCTTCTCCTGTGGCACTAACAATCTTACTTGTGTCTCAGGTTTTCCTCTCGAAGGGAGCTGATGGTTTTCTTGTTGGCATCCTTCTCAGCACTGTAACATGAGAAGAAATTCATTCCAAATTAATAAGCTCAAATATAAACTTAACGACTCTGAACAGTAACGTTAATATCAGAGCATTAATGAGGTGCACAGTACAGTGTCTGTCATTCAAAGAAGCCAATATATAATCATTGTGCCTGCTCATGGGGCTCATAACATCTGACCACCTTAACTCCTTTAGGGGTATAATACCCCAAAGCTGCCATATCAGATGCAATCAACAAAACACAATCACCAAATCTGCTCTCAAAGGTATCCGTCTCAGTTGGGGTACGAAGGGGTTGATGTAACTTGCTGAAGGTCACAACGTGTACAGATAGAGACTAACGCGCCATCAACTTGTTAAATTTGTGGGTAATAGCCTTGACCCACTAAAATAACTCGCACATATTTTTTTTCTGGTACGCCTTGGTTAGATTTGTTTGTTTGTCACAGAGATTTTGTGGAATTGTAAAATTCTTTTGAACAGTGAAAACTTTTGCGAAACAATAACATGAACAGACAAGATGTCTCATCTTTTCTTTATCAGATGTGCATTTACCAAACTGACATAATGAACTGTAAACATGATTTCAGTACATCATTTTCATCGTTTAAAGTTAACTTTGCTGTAAAGGTTTACAGCATGCAATGTTTTGCTCTCTTGCACTTGATTGGTGAAGCTCCCTAGTGAATATTCATGACACATGTTTGCGCATGATGAATATTTGAATAAATTTACAGCAGTTTCTTCTGCTCTTCTGGGTCAGCCCTGTTGCACTGCTCAATGAGGTGATTGGTGCGCTGCTTCCATCGGGTCACCTCGATGGTCAGGCTGGTCTTGTCTGTGGTCAGGGCATCCCGCTCGGCCGTCAGCTCGCGATTCTGGTCCTGCAGGGGCTGGATGTTGGCCTCCAACTGGCTGACCTGACAAGACCAAGAAAGAAGAGCGCCAAACGACGCAACTGACAATGTGCTCTTACGAAAACCATCATCAGCTTGTTTTGACACCTAGCAGAAACTTTCTTTGTGTATGATACAGGAAACCCCTGTGCACTTTTACACAGCATGAAGTGGTTCAACTCTGAGCTAGATCTGCATCCTCCAGAGAAGCCTGGGACAGCCTACCTTAGCCTCCAGCTGTTGCACCTGCTGGTCCAGCCGGTCCTTCTCCTCTCTCAGCATCCGGTTGCTGTCGGTCAAGGCGTTCAGCGTCTCCACCTTCTTCAGGAGCTCCTGGTGCTTGGCGGTGGTCTGGGCCATCACCTGGAGCAGGGAAGAGACATAGAAAAAGGGTGTCTCTTCAAAGAAGATTATAAGCAGATTTTGACGTCAAACAGAACTGACTTACACCATGTTTCACTTTTGTTTAAGTTCAACGGCCACTGCCAGTGCTCAGTCAGAATGTTTTCACATGGACCCGAGACAGTTTTTAGCCCCAAGCTATTCTATACCATTCCTTTCTCGTGGTTCCCCAATTGTTTCTTGTGAAACGACTTTAATACCTTGACCACTAGTCAAGTATGAAGCAATTGGACTACAAAATATGAAGGTTGATTTCAGTGCAATCAAAAATGAATGATGACAGTGCAAACTCATTGGCAAGAGTGCTAGCCCCCCCCCCGATAAAAATTGAAATATAAAAGGTGTGGAAAAAATGAAAGAAATGAAAACGGAGGAAAGATAAAGGGGTGAAAATCACGAATTTGCTTGGAAAAAGCCCTCAAAATTGTCCCCCTTCGACTGGTTTGGTGTGTCAATGTTAGTGGTTACGTCGGGTTGTTGCTGATGAGTGTCCAAAACCTCGCACTCCCCTCTTTCACTCAAACTTTTTCTCCTGGAGAAAAGTGCCTTTCCCCCCCCTAAAAAAAAAAATCCTGGCGACGCCCACATGCACGCAGGTATCAGACATGGGCCACACCCAATTAAGGTTAGCTCCACTGTTCAATTTCCGAGTTTATGCTTTCAAAAATAAAAGGAAGTTTGAAATATTTTGGAACTGTGGCAAGAACACGGTGAATATTTGTCAAAAAAGAAGAATACGGCAAATGACTGTTAAGCAGGACAATCATTCTCTGAGGAGGGACATCCTCGTCAGCATACCTGAGTCCGTTCCCGTTCTCCGGTCAGGTTGCGATGGGCCTCCTCGTACTGTCGCTCCAGATGCTCGCACCTCTGCTTGAGACGAAGGCCCTCTGACTGAGCCAGCTCCGAACGCGTCTCTGCAATTTCCTTTTCCCGTCGCAAGAACCTGGCAAAATAAATAACGAAAGTGCAACAGAATTTCACTGTTAAGAGTAGGGTAAGATCAAAAGAAGATAATTAAGTTTACTGGCAATTTTTACGTTGCCGCACTGACGTTTGCATTCCAAGATGGCATCTCCACAGGTGAAATAATGCATTCTGTATTTATTTTTCATTCAGAAGGCAGCTTCTTTCTCTAAGCTCTCGATCAGGTTCTTCCCTCAAATTGCCTGAAGCTGGCATCTCCCTAATTACGTCCATTTTTACGATTCCTTCCTTGACTGAAGAAGTCACGAAAGTGGACTTTCAAAGGTTTTTCCGTCATTTCCACGGTGAAAACAAAAAAATAAAGCCTAAAATATTCTACTTCCTCCCCAAGAGAAGAACAGCGTGATAAATCTGCTGTCATTGAAGAATGGAAAAACAAGAAAAACAGGGATAAACTTTATAGCGCCTATATAGGAAAGACCGGCCTTACTTGATAACTTCAAGAAGTTGTTCTGACGACTTGTTCTCGTCGGGCAGGCGCAGGCTGCCGTCCACAGACTCCTTCTGCTGCTGCAGTGGACTTTGCATCATCCGAGCGCTCAACTGAACAGCGGAGAAGCAAAAAATTCCATCATATAGTTTCAGCATTCTGTTGCCTCTCGATCAGTGATCCATTGTTGGTAACATAGACACCAAAACGAGCCTAATGGACGGTGCGAACCAAGTCTCAGTAGGATCACCACAAGTATTATTTATTGTGATAGTCACTGGTTGCAAAGACCAATTTTCTTCCTTCATGATAACTTCCAAAAGGATTTGACATAAAAACCGGAAGACCGAAAAATATCTGAGTAAAAATTTACAGAAAAAAAAATTAAAAACCCCAAACATGCCAAATCCAGCGAGATTATACAAATTTTTTTTTGTTTCACAAGAATGTAAGATGACCTTTTGTCATATTAAAATTGTTGGGCAAGCAATATGTTTACATCGTGAATAAGCCGGTGGAAAGACGGTGTTGTTTTGAAGTATGCAATGGAGTGATGACTGATGTATGCATCCAGGACTCCCTATATATTTTCACCGGCACCCTCCTATATCCTACAAAATCCTTCCCAAAAAACCAATGATGGCACATTCCGTGCCACTTAAGCTTCGAAGGGGCAAGAAATTCCATGAAAAGCAATGTAACAGCGGAGACCCACCCTCCCCAATCCTACACAGTCCTCCAAAATCTGTTGAATTTGGATGGATTTGGGAGGTTACGTGGGATTTGTTCATACCTCTTCCAGTTGTTGGTGCAGCAGTGTGTTCTGTTGAGTGAGTTCCTGGCAGGTCGTGGCTCGCTGTTCCAGTTCGTTGGCTCGGATCCGCGACTGTTCCTCCCATCCAGCCTACAACATGGAACAAAACATTACAACTTTGTTACTGTTTTGCATGTTCATAAATCTATACTGTGCTGGAACATAGGTAGGAAACAGGGAAATCAGGAAAAAGAGGAAAATCAGTGCTGAAATGTTTAC